ACACTTTATCTACAGGAACTTATATAAAAAGATACTTACACTAAAGAACTAACAATCTTTCTGCTGCCTTTACAAGGGCCTGTGGCCTAACCTTGTGATTTACTATGTCTTCCTAAACATTTAAAGTATTTAAGGAGTTGAAGTCACAGGAAATAGTCTTGGTAAGGCAGCAGGCACTTCTTGGTGTGGCAGGAGGTCTCCTGGGATGACTCTTTTTTTTTTCAGGAAGAGTTACTCTGTCACACTCAGACATGGCTGAGGAAATCTTTTTTTTTACATTCTACCTTTGAAAAACAATGTGCATGTTTTATTTGGGGGCATGCTGCATGTAAGAAAATATGTTAAATCTGTTGCTACTCTTTGGCAAGGTCTATCAAGTCTCTTTGTACAGAGTAATGGCCCTAGTTATTGGACATGGGCATTTTCCCCCCATTTTACAGGTTTTTGAAGACCTCTACTGCGGTCTGTAATTGCATGATTAGGCTGCAGCACTATATAGATTGTTGATGATGTTGGATGTTTTGGGTAAATTTTCTTGCCCCTCATAAATTTGGGGGAGCATTTTCTTCTGTTTCTATTGCATTTGCCTCTCCTCTTGATTTAATCAGAGTTGTCTGGTGCAGTTTCCCTGCTATGATGATCAGTTAAGTCACATTGCTGTTTTATGATTTCTTGGGTACTTTTTTTTTTAATAGTTTTTGCTAGCATGAGATTTGGATCTAACTGAGATTGTGCTAATAAGCTGGTGCTTCTTTCACCAATAGCTAATCTGCCTGCTGTTAATTCTTTTTTAATAATCCATATCTGCGGTGTTCAGCAAGAATCTGAACTGTAGTAATGAAAGCTTCTGCTGTTCCCGTGTTCTTAGAACCTGCTTTTAAATTTGATCCTTTCAAATATAATATTCTCTGCTACAAAATAGACATCAAAAGTCACTTTCACTCTGTTATATTTTTGTTTTAACATTTGCTGAAGGGTAGAGTATGGAGCTGCCTTCCCCATGGCATATATCAGGATATTCTCCTGGTATGCTTGCTTTTTCTTTATTGAACCAGAAGCCATTTGATATCTTTCATGGTGCTGGATCCAGGATGGCCTGCTGCCAGAGACACCTGTTTCAAACTTTTCTATAAGAACTACTGGCATTATGGGTTCCATTACTGTGCTGATATAAGACTGTCTCTCTTTTTTCCTATAGTTCTCACAGGTTTCTTCCTTGATATTCTGTTTTGCTTTTATTTTCCCCACTTGTTCACCCCTTTGGCAGACTGGGGGCTCTTTTCTTTCCCTTACTCCTTTTTTACAATGAAGCAACCACCAATTGCTGACATGAAGTAGTAAGAAAGCAAACAAATAAAGGGAGGCAGGCTTTACATGCTCAAGTGTAAGTAGAGGACCCCTTTCCTGGAAGTTGCCCTGTTTTATCATCTTCCTTTTAAAAAATATTGTGGTCATCTCTGTTTATTATGGGGAACCATGGACTCTATAACCATGCCAAGATGTGCAAAAAAAGTTCTGTGTAGCAGATTGCTCTTTCTCCATTTTTTTTAAAATAAGCACTGTGGATGGAATTCTCTTTGCATGTCTCAATAGCAATTTTATAGCCATCTACCTGGCCTTTTTTGCATACTGCTTTGGATAGGAAGGCCTGTGTACATTAACTGACCATGCACAGTACAGCTTCAGACTGGCCAAACACATATGCAGCTAGACACATGTATGCATAGCTGGGTCCCAGCAGCTGAGTAGTGTGGACACTTACCCAAGAATCTGGGGATATGGGTTCTAGGCTACCCCTGCCCTAGCCAGTGGATGACTTATTGTGCATGCTCAATCTATTCATGCACACTTATGTATTCTATTGCAAGAGTAATTATGTGCATTCAGCAATTCAAATAATATTGTTGGCATTTTTTGCGCAATTAAAAATCTGTCCTTTAGATCCAAAAAGGGAAATAAAATGCCACATTTCCATAAGTATTTTCCAGTCTTGGGGTACTATTTGAGTGGGCAGTCAGTGCTTTATATGTTGCTATTTTAGGTGCCAGTTCCTTTAATATGCTAAGATACAGATTACCCAAACCCCCAGATTTTGTGACAAGAAGCAGTCTAAGTTTTTCTTGCACTTCACATATTGTAAGTTCTATGATCATATCTTTATTGCTGTGCAGTACTCCACCAGCATCCTCCATTGCTGCTTCATTCTGATTAAAAGATGAGACAAATTATTTGTTCATTAGTTGTTCTTGGTCTCCACCCCATCTTCAACATCTAGTGACCCTACTTCTTCCCTCTCTTTATTTATATGCCCAAGTAAGCCTTTGCTATTAATTTTAATAATTTTTTTTGTGTGGTTGAGCTCAACTAAGCTGTTAGCTGTTCTTACTTTGTTTTAGCATTTCTAGACCACAGAAATATATTGCTCCTTGCAGATCAGTCTCAATTTCCATTGCTTGTAGAACCTCTGCTAATTCATAATGGTCTGTTTGAAGTTCTTGTTCTTCAGCTCTGCCCCTGGGCTTGTAGCTCTGTAATCCTTCCCTACCACCTTTTTTCTCTTCCTTGTGATGCAAGTCTCTGATAGTACTTGTCATATGTATCCTCAGCTTCTTATACACTTTGACAAATCTCCCACTGTTGTTTACTGGACCACCAAGAATTTTTAACAGGAGGGAAGACAGACAGGAGAGAGAGATTTCTGAAATTAAAATGCTTTGTGTACAATGCTGACACTATCCCAGTGATTCTCAACCTTTTAAGAGTTTAGGCACCACTCCATAATTTATTTTTTTAAATTTGGCGGTACTTCTGGTTGAGAACCACTGTTGTGCTGCCTCTGCCTTATCCCAGTGCTTCTCAACCAGGGTTCTGCCCTATGCTTCTTCCTGTATTAGGGTTTTCTGATGAACCTAAAGCAGGCAGGATGAGAGACATAACTAATGAATTTTATGCCCTAGGCAAAACTCCCCTACGCACCTGGGGTATATGGGAGGTGGGAACGATGATAGTTAATAAAAGGAGAGATGGCTATTAACACCTATTGGATGAGGAGTTTAGAAGGAATTGGGTAGATTACAATGAACCATGAAGTCAAGTGACCCTCACTGCTTCCTGAAAAAAATGCTACTGACACTGCCATTCAATTGGTCTTACACTTTGGATGGACCAGGAATCAAAGGGCTCCCTAAATTGGCTCCTGTGAGCGCATCTACATGAGATATCATAGCTCATTGGTACCATGCAGTAACATTGCCAGGCACTAACCATGATTCAATGCTACTGCACTCATTGCTACTGTGCAGTGGTGTCAAGAAAAAAACTATGCGGAAATGGTACTGGGTAGTAATGCTGGTTACTGTGTGGTCATTTAATACTTGCTTATGAAAGGACTAAACAACAACACAGTAACAACTGTGCCGTACATGTAGACATGGCCTGTGTGCATGTGCATGAGTATATAATGATATATGTCTTATTGATAATGGTAGTAGTAAGTGCTTACTACTACGTACTATATAAAATTATAGCAAAACTGAAATCTTTTCAGGAATGAAAATTAAGTGAAATACTTTTCCTTTCTGACTTTTTGGAGTATGTGAGTTTTCATTGAAGTTTTACAAAATATAGATTTTGTTGAAAAAGACGTTTTCTGTTTTGCCAAAATTTTTTTTACCAGTATTATGAAAAACCTTAATCTTTGATCAGTTCTCAGGGACATTGAGTAAGTGCTTTGCGCAGAGGCCCATTCATATTTGACACATAAATGGAGATGGATAGACATATTGTATATCTTTCTAATTATTGACTCTTCATAAAAGAAGGTTGCTATGTATTAATCATTCCATGTAATCCCTTTCATACATAAAATCAATTTAAATTAATTTCAGCAAGTGCCATTATAGTAGAGATGAAATGTAAGAAGCCTTAACCTAGCAATGTCTTCTCTTCTGAGCCAAGCACCTGTTCCTATAGGAATTTCTTTTGCTTAAACATGGATGTGCAGCACATCTGCCTAAAGCATTAAGAGCTGTTTATTATATTTATTGAGTCGCAGCAATGTTGGCAGGTCCTCAAGTGGAGATTGAGCATGTGCTGGCAGATGGTTTTTTCTGGGACATAGTTATACCACCTCCTGAATGAGAGAAGCTGAGGCAACACAAATGTTCTGTCAGCATGGCTGCATCCCCACCAGGGATTTTGCTGGTGAGGAAGCCTGGTCTTTTCACACTGCTATCCAGCCTAGTTGGGAAACTTTGTAGTGTAGATCAGAGATGGAAGAACTCAGCAGGTCACTCTTTCTGCACTGTAGCAATAAAGATTCTCTATTTCTGATGGTCTGAGATCTTACCAGTAGGTGTGCTTGGAAGATATAAGTAGGATAGCCATTCTTCCCTAGCCTCAAAATGTGATGCTCTGCCCTGCCACCACCCACTTTCCAGCGCTCTCAGCCATCTCTGAGCTCCAATCACAGCTGAAACATCCATTTAAAACACCTGCTGAAAACAGGCAAAAGTTTTCATTCATTTTCATTTCATTCATTTGAGCAAACTGACAGAACACTTGTCCCAGGACAGTCTCAATGAAAACAGGACATGCAATCACTGTAAATGTAAGCCAAAAAATATACATGAATTTGGGGTACAGACATCAAGGTTGAAGTACAGCATAGATGGTCAGGTTAAATGGTCAGCCTTAGCCAGTACAGGCAGGCTCTGAGGCCCCCTGCTTCCCCGAACCAAAAAGTGCATGTGTGTTCTGTTCGGTCCTGACATAATCTAGCATGCTTTGAGCAAAGCATGATCCTTAGAGCATTTCCTCCACGGGTTTAGAGCACTCACCTCTGCACTTAGCCTAAGGCTGTAATAGACTCCTTATCAACCTTTTAAAATGACCCAGCTACGCCTGGAGCATGACATTTTGCCACACTGAGGCAGCCTGTTTTCAGACAGAGGGATACTAGCCAACACAAGATATTTCAACAGTCCTTTTTCTTTCACCAGGATAGTTCATGGATTACTGGATGCGACTACCTTACTCAGCTCAAACGGGTGGTGGCTGTAACTGAAAGAACTGTTATCATCTGGGATTATAAATCACAAGGCAGCTGCCAGGTACAGTGCTGGATCATTTCAAATGTTAAAGAAAGTGTAGTTCACTAAATCTTCGTCTACATTTCCATTATACCCCCTTACACTGATCAGCAGGGCAAGCTCCATTAAGTGACATTGAGTTTCTATACAAAGGATAATAAATAAAATGAGACTCCCTTTAAGACAAGTAACTCTTTAGGTTGCCAGACATAGCTGGAAAATATATGCTGTTCTATAAATTGATTCCCAAACTTACCCATATTTTTAATGAATGGCATTATCAGATTATAGTTTCATAGGATTTGAGTCTTCTACTTAATACATGATTGGGAAAACAGAGACTTGGCGGGATAACTTGCATGACTAGAGCACTGTCATGAATGGGTATAAGCTGTTTAGAAAGAACAGGCAGGGGAGAAGAGGAGGAGGAGGAGGAGGAGTTGCACTTTATGTAAAAGAGCTGGATAATTACGCGGAGCTCCAGTATGAAGTTGGAGATAGGCCTGTTGAAAGCCTCTGGGTTAAGGTTAGAGGGCAAAACAACACGGGTGATGTTGTAGTGGGTGTCTGCTATAGATCACCAGCCCAGGAGGAAGTGGTGGATGTGGCTTTTTTCAGATGGATAGCTAACAGAAGTTTCCCATTCACAAGCCCTGGTTCTCTTGGGGGACTTCAATCCCCCTGACATCTGCTGGAAGGGCAATCTAGAAAGTTTTTGGTGAGTGTTGAGACAACTTTCTCGTGTAAGTGCTGGAGCAGCCAACTAGGAGCCATGTTCTTCCTGACCTGATGTCCACAAATGAGGAAGAATCAGTGGGGAATGTAGTAGTGCATGGCAACATGGGCAGCAGTGACCATGAGATGATTGAGTTCAGGATCCTGAGGAAATGAAGTATGGAGAACAGCAGAGTAAGGACCTTGGACTTCAGAAAAGCAGACTTCAACTCACTCAGGGGACTCATGGGCAAGATACTCTGGGAAGCCAGTCTGAGGGAGAGAGGAGTCTAGGAGAGCTGGCTATACTTTAAAGAAGCCTTACTGAGCGTGCAGGAACAAACCATCCCAATGCACAGGAAGACTAGCAAGTATGGCAGAAGACCAGCTTGGCTTAGCAGGGATCTCTTCAGTAAACTAAATCACAAAATAGAAGCTTCTAAGTGGAAACTTGGACAAATAAATAGGGAGGAATATAAGAGCATTGCTTGGGCATGCAGGGATGAAGTCAGGAAAGCCAAAGGGACATGGGGGAGGCAACCTTGTGAAAGAGAATGCAGAAAAAGGCTAACGTGCTCAATGCCTTCTTCGCCTAAGTCCTCACAGGCAAGGTCAGCTCCCAAACTACTGCACTGGGCAGCACAGTTTGGGGAGGAGGTGAGCCGCTGACAGCAGTGAAAGAACAGGTTAGGGACTATTTAGAAAAGTGGGACATATACAAGTCCATGGGGCTGGATAGGATGCACCTGTGGGTGCTGAGGGAGTTAGCTGATGAGTTTGCAGAGCCACTGGCCATCATCTTTGAAAACTCATAGCAATCAGGAGAGGTCCCAGGTGATTGGAAAAGGGCAAACATAGTGTCCATATTTAAGAATGGGAAAAAGGAAGATCCAAGGAACTACAGATCAGTCATCCTCACCTCAGTCTCTGGAAAAATCATGGAGCAGATCCTCAAGAAATCCATTTCTAAGCACTTGGAGGAGAAGGTGATTAGGAATGGTCAGCCTGGATTCACCAAAGGCAAGTCATACCTGACCAACCTGATTGCCTTCTATGAAAAAGTGGCTGGCTCTGCAAATGTGGGGAGACCAGTGCATGTGGTAAACCTTGATTTTTACGAAGGCTTTTGATAGGGTCTCCCACAACATTCTCACAGGCAAGCTAAGGATATGGACTGGATGAATGGACTGTAAGGTGGATAGGAAACTGTCTGGATCATCAGACTTAGAGGGTAATCATTAATGGCTTGATGTCTAGTTGGCAGCCACTATCACCAGACCAGGAGGAAGTGGAGTGCCCCAGGGGTTGGTCCTGGGGCCAGTTTTGTTTAATATCTTCATCAACAACATGAAAGATGGCATAGAGTGCACCCTCTGCAAGTTTGCAATTGACACCAAGCTGCGGGGAGTTATAGATATGCTGGAGCATTGGGCTAGGATTCAGAGTGACCTAGACAAATTGGAGGATTGGGCCAAAAGTAATCTCATGAGGTTCAATAAGGACAAGTGCAAAGTCCTGCATTTAGGACAGAATAATCCCATGCACCAGTACAGGCGGGGGGCTGACTGGCTGGGCAGCAGCTCTGCAGAAAAGGACTTGGGGGTTACAGTGGACAGTAAGCTGAGTATGAGCCAATAGTGTGCCCTTCTTTCAAAGAAGGCTAATGGCATACTGGGCTGCGTTGGTAGGAGTGTTGCCAGCAGGTCAGGGGAAGTGATTATTCCCCTTTATTCAGCACTGATGAGGCCACATCTGGAGTACTGTGTTCATTTTTGGGCCTCCACTACAGAAAGGATGTGGACAAATTGGAGAGAGTCCAGTGGAGGGCAACAAAAATGGTGAGGGGGTCAGGGGACATGACTTATGAGGAAAGACTGAGGAATCTGGTCTTATTTAGTCCAGAGAAGAGAAGACTGAGAGGGGACATAATAGCAGCCTTCAACTACCTGAAGGGGGTTCGAAAAAGGATGGAGCTGGACTGTTCTCAGTGGTGGCAGATGACAGGAACAATGGTCTCGAGTTGCAGCAAGGGAAATTTAGGTTAGATATTAGGAAAACCTTTTCACTAGAAGGGTAGTAAAACACCCGAACAGGTTACCCAGAGAGGTGGGGGAATCTTCATCCTTGGAGGCTTGTAAGATCCGGCTAGATAAAGCTTTGGCTGGGATGATCTAGTTGCGGATGGTCCTGCTTTGAGCAGGGGTTGGGCTAGATGATCTGATCCTTCCAACCCTAATTTTCTGTGACTCTACCCATCAAAGGACAAGTCTTCAAGATAAGTTTAATACTGGCTCCTTTGGGTTAGCTTGATAATTTAAAAGAAATATCCCCCAACTTCTTCTATTTTTTTTCAGTTCTTCTTATGGAGGCAAGCATCTTGATCTTGAAAATGTTGTTCTGAAGTTTGAAGTTTCTTCTGAATTCCTTACAGAATACTTCAAGGTTTTCAAGGATGTTTAGCTTGCCCCTGTCCTCCTGTTCACATTAGTTGTGTTCTCAATGGGGCGTGACTTATGTGAGGGAATGAAAGAAACAAGGAAACAAGGCAGACCAAAGATGTTTCTCTTGGACCTTATTTAAGGACTGACTGTCTTTCCACTGAGTTTAGGGGTCTATGGTTCATGGTCCTAGTTGGGCCCCCTGGCAAAGAAAGCTGACAGCATTGGTCCTCACAGAATTTTCCTCAGGCCGTTCTTTCCATGAGGCGGGTCATTCTGTCCTTTTGCAGAGTGGGCAGCAACACTATCCTCAAGCCCTCAGTTTCCAGGGATACCCATATTAAGGTCTTTTACTTTAGTTCTGTCGCTCTGATGCCTTCACCCATACTGTGCCATTTACTCCTTGAAGTGCATCTCCTAAATTCAGAGAGTGACATCTAGTTCATTCCCAAGGAACATGAACATGACAGCTAGTGTTGGCAAGGTCTTGATCTCTTGAATATCAGAGGAAATGAGTTTATAAAACTAATGATCAGTACATCTTAATTATCCAAAATCCCCTATGGAGCCTCCCCAGTCTAACAAAAAGTTGCCAAGACTTGCAGTGTTACTAGTACCCTCTCTTGACTCTTGATAATCTAGATTCCTGGTTGTCTGGGTATATTGGCTGAAAATTGAGATTCTACAGTAGTTTCTTATTACACACCACCACTACATTAATTCACTGATTAATTGACTCTATACTACTCCACTTTATCTCTGTATAGAGAAACAAAATTCTTAAAAAAAAACCTGAATACCCTTCACTTAAGACTACTTATTACGATTACTCTTCATTATATTTATATTTCTTCACTCAGCTACTACAAAATGTTTAAGTGTTGGAGGCTGTGGATGAAATCCAAATCCAACTGAAGTCTATGGAAAAGCTCCTTTTGAGTTTCACAGAGGCAGGATTTTACCTTGTATACCAGTTTCAGGAGTTTCTAATTTCAGGAAAGAGCTGTCACAATAGGAGTTTTGAAACCTTGAGACATGCCTTAGGTAGATGAGTCTGATAGATGCTGTGCTCAATTGGTTTAAGGGCTCATGTGCAATATCTAAAAAACACTCACTATATTTCACAGGATAATTGCTTTATTATCAAACCAATGGAACATTGTCTGCTTTGTGTATCTACGGTGAATATATCAGATCAACAGGCTAAGGATGACGTTTTAATGGGAGACGATGGTGGTCATGTCAACCTACTTACAGTGACCAGTGATGACTTTGGACTAAAGCAGTCTAAAGCCAAACGAAAATCACAATTGCACATCTTGGATTCAAGGAACTTTAAAAAGTGAGCTACTTGTAGTGAAATGATGTTATACTTTATCAGTTTTTACTGAAAAAATAGAATTTGGATTCTATGTAACCTGAATGTGTGGTTAGCTTTTGCTTGTGAAAAAACCTCAATGTGACTTAACGATGAAAATGTTTAAATGAGATTGATTATTTAGCTGTTATATAAAAGCAGTTCTGTTGTTCTTAGTAGAGATCTGTGTACAGAGTTGCTATGAAATAAGATGCAATGAGCACATTTCATTAAAACTTTACATTGGTGTGACTGTATGGCCCCCTATTAGCTGAAATTAGAACCCGCTGCTCTGCAGGCTGCAGACATACTTTGTTCCCATTTAAAGAAATTTCAGCCCAGATACTGTTCCACTTCCAGTGCTATTTACACACCTGTTGCACATCTAAGTTACTAAGTGTGATCCTAACCCATGCAATGCACTACCCATAAAACTGCTAAAAAGCCTAGATTAATTAGGTACTTCCATTCTGGCCTGTAATAATTCCTAGATAATTAAGCTTGGGCTACTGCACAGACTCAGAAGCAAGCTAGGATGACATCTACCAGACATTTACCTCCACTTGAGTTTTGGGTTCTCTGTCCTGGTGCTCAACCTCTGACTTGTGGGCCAGATCTAACCTGCAGAGCTGTCATCCAACCCGCAGGGGTCCCATGGGTCCAGAAATTTGGCAGCAGAGGTATAGTGGCAGTTGTACTTGCCCATCCCTGGTTGCCCCGTGCTGCCTAACTGCAGTAAAGCCCTGTGATCCGAATAACATGTCCCTGCCCCTGTGCATGGGGTCACTTCTTGGCCGGATCTGAGTGCACAGAGGATCACATTCACAGACCAACCCAATGGAGAGTAAGCTGATCCCATCTGGGATCCAGCTTATGGACTGACCCTATACCACTTATCCAGCCCACAGGACAGGAAGTTTGAGCACCACTGCTTTAGACCAAAAACTAGATCCATACCAATCCAGCCAAAATTCAAGGGAACTTTCCCATCTCTAGAAATAGTTAATGGATAAAATGCATAAATAACACTGGGAGTAGAACTTCCAGGGGAGTGCCCAGCTGATTAAGCCAGAGTCAGTCCTTTTGAGTTCTTGAGTCATTCACTCTTGGTTCCCAGAAGTCCAGCCAGTACCATAGCAAGGGGGGAGCAGGGGGATGAGTGGGGCAACTACCCCAGGTGCCAAAGTGAAGGGGTGCCAACAAGCCTTGCCCAGCCAGAGCGGGGCACAGGACAGAGCTGTGAGCAGCTCATTTTGGGGGGGTGCAGAGGTGGGGGAAGGGTGGCTTCTGCTGCTGCGTGCACTTCTGGGCAAGCATGGGGTGGGGGACATGTGCCCTCTGGATCTGTGCACAGGGCGAGGACAGGCTGCCGCTGCAGGCTTTGCCTCATGCTCCAAACTTTGTTGTTATGGCATTGAGTCTAGCCTCAACAGGAAGAAGCAGAGGCATCCTCAGTTCTGCATAGACTGTAGCTTGTGGGTGAGTGTATTATCCTGCAAAGTGGAAGATATGGGTTTAAATCCCCTTAGGCACATAGAAACTAGAAACCAGGTCTCTCACTTCCTAGATAAGTATCGATTGGGCAAAAAATGGGAGACTCCTCTTCCTCCAGTTATTCAGTCATATTAGTTCAGGTAAATGTCTTCCCTTTTCTCTCAGCTGGATTCTGATGTGATCAAAGGGTATGATGCTGCCCATTAAAAGAGCAGGAGACATGTGCCTCAGGTAGAATAAGATCTGAGGCAACAGGCACATAGTTTAGGTGAGTAGCTGATAAGTCTTAGACATCTAATAGGCAGAATAGGATCTGGGCCTTTGTCTTCATCTCTGCTTTTTAGTGTCTGTGGGCACATCTACATGAGATGCTATGTTGCTGTAGCAATGAGCTACAATGACGTAGCTCATTGCTACAGTGATGTAACATTGCCAGGCACGAATCATGATACGTGCTCATTGCTACAGTGACGTACCTCATTGCAACTGCACAGTAGGGTCAGAAATGACCCGTGCAGCATCGGGACTGTGCAGTACCAGTGGTTACTATGCACATAAACAATTGTGGCACCTAAAGCTGGAGGACTTCAGTTCTTTCTCTTCTCTTACTTTGAAGTAGAAATCGCTGAGTATGTTATTTTACCAAGAGCCATGCAGTACTATTTAGCAGTGTCTATTAAAATATATACAAGTATATCTTATATGCTAACCCCTTAATGTATATCTCTAGCATTAAACGGAAACTACATGATGACTGGGTTGTGAAAGTTAAGTACATCTCTGTCCTGAATTGTTTTGGATCCTGCTCCTTAGACAGCGTACATTCATTTGTTTTGGATGACTTAAAGAGACTAGAGGACAACAAGTAAGTAGAGCCATACATATCATATGCTGAACACAAATTGTTCACAAGGGATCACTTGTGAGATAAGTACATTACAAAATGGGATCATGATTAACGTTATCTATGGATTTTCTAAAAGATGGCTAACTAAACTAAGATATAATTGGAATTAGTCATTCAAAACTTGACAGACTGAGCCCTTATAAGGCATGCTGTGATTTCTCCCTAGGTTTTGATTCGGGAAATAAAGTTTTGTAGATGTTAAACACAAATTCTGTTGAAAACATCTGTCCCTTTTGATTCTCATTCAAAATAATTTGATGATATTATGTGAACTGCTGTAATATCATAGTTCTAAAAAATACTGAATGCTTTCCCAAATACAGGCAGTCCTTAGACTTACGACACAATTGGTTCCTGAAAACCATGTCTTAAGATGAAACATCATAAGTTGGAACCAATTTTCCCATAGGAACAGTGTTGCAAATGGGGGATTGGTTTCTTTACGACAGTCAATACTGCCTGCAGCTGGTAAGTGGTGGAAGGGGAGGGGAAGGGGCAGATCAATGTCCCCACAGTGAGGGAGGGACAGGGGCTGAGACCAGGGCTGGGGCAAGTGCTGCCCAGCTGGGACCAGGTGGCTCCCACCGCTGCATGCTGCTTATCTGGTGGCTCAACCAGCAGTTCCCACTACTGCTCCTACTGCTGGTCCAGGAGGGCACAGGGGGCTGTGTGCCCCCCGGATCTGTGCAGGATGGGGTGGGTGGGGTCAGGGCTGGACTAGGCTGCGCTCCAGGTGGGCAGTGAGGGCTACGGTGAATTTTTGGGTGGCTGAAGCTCCCCCATAGCCCCCACTCTGCTGCTTGTCCTGCCCCGATCCAGGGGCACATGCCCTCCATGCTCTCAAAACCATGGCTCATCCTGGGGGCATGGGGTGGCATGGGCCGCTTGTCTGGAGGCAGCGCAGCAGTGGGGGGTGTCGATTTGCGCCCCCATGCCCCTTCCCTTCCCCTCCCCTTCCACCATTTACCAGCTGCACGCAGTATTGACTGTTGTAAAGATGAAACCCATGTTGGAACATCAAAACAGGCTGTCAATTTATAAACATTGTAAGTGACATTCATCGCAACTCGAAGTCGTAAGCCGAGGGCTGCCTGTAAATACATATATGGACACTATACACATATTCTTATGCTCATTCTAAAAACACGTAATAAAACAGATATTTAAGTAAGCATTCTTGGTATTTTTGTTCAATGCGTGGGCTGCATACATAAAAGATGACTAATGAATCTCATCAATCCATGGCTAATTTTTCACAGCTAGTGAGACTGGTGGCTCTATGTAATTTTGGGTAAGGGGGTAAATTATAACAAAATGTTTAAAAAAACAAAATGATATGTTCATACCTCATTTGGCAAGAATAGAAACAATGAAGAACACTTAGGTTGCACTTTTCATTTAAGAACCTTAAAGAATTGTAAATGTCAGATAAGCCTTATGATTCCTTTACAAGATGGATTCATAGATTTATATTTTTTAAGTCTAGAAGCCGTAATTATGAGCATAATAGAGTCTTGCCTATTCCACAACACAGGCCACAAATTTTCACCTAGTGATTCCTGTTTCAGGCATGTAACTTCTGTTATGGGTATTATGTGTATTTTTTAATTGGGGGGGAGGGGAAAGTGAAAAGAGTGATTTGCCCAAGATCACTCACTATATCAGGAGTAGAGCCTGGAAATTGCTCAAAGGTCCAGAGAGTTGGAGAGAGGGTTAAATGGTAAAAAAAAATATATAATCAGAGGTATATTTGCCACCACCACCACACGGTATGTATCATTAATTGCAAATGTTTTATTAGTGTCTTTTCTTTAACTGTAAATGTGTCTTGTGGTTGTATAAGAAGAAAATTATCCAAGGAATTTAAGACAGGAGCTAAATTAAATTGTGTTTAGGCAACTTTAGAATCAAATAGATAGCAAAATAAAACTGGGAGCCTTAGAATAGCTATGCATCAAATCCTCTTGAATTGACCATTCCAAACATAATTGTGGCTCAGACATTTAATTATGAGCTGCAAGCCAAATGAAGATTCCTCAATTAACCATGTAGTGTACAACTGCTGCTGTTTATTTTTGGGATAGACCTAATATATTGTAATCTTCATGGAATGGGTAATTTTATATGTGAATGGTGCTTGGAAAGTACATAGCTTTTTTCTTCATAAAGAGCTGTTGGTGGGAGGGGGATTAAGGAGGAAGGTTTTTGGGGATCAAGAAGGGCTTCTGGTTGTGAGGACCTGGGATGTGCCTGGGCTGACACTTGACCATCTGAATGCTGGAAATCCATTTGCCATCCTTAATCTAAGAGAAGGTTGGAATTGCTCATTAAAGAAGAGTGACAAATTATATAACATTTCTCTATGTTTTTTTAAAGGTAAATCCTCAAAGAACCTACTAGTGGTACAGGTGACAGGTTATCTGCTGTTTTACTCCTTACTTAAGAATTAAGTCTTCTCTCTGAGATACTGATCCTGCACTGAGTTTCACAAACTCACAGGATCAGGTCAGAGGGGCCATAGAGTTTATAGTCAACCACTGATTTATTCCTGTGCAGAAAAAGCAAATTATGTCTTTTAAATTTAAAAACCCTCCTAAAAGTTTAGAGTCTTTGGATACTTTGTATCCAGTTTACCCCTACCCCAGTTATTGCTTTTCTGACCCATGGTTATTCCAAAGCCCAACAAGAATTAATGGAAAGAACTATCAGCTGGAACAAAAAGACAAATAATAAAAAACATCTTCACCCATTTATACGTATGGATAAATGGATGGATAGATAGTTCTGCTCTCAATGTGTGTGTGTTAATATACATATATGTGTATATATTTGTATATATGTTTTATATAGAGATATACAGAGATCAATTGATCTATCTATCTTGATATATGCTCCAGCAAGGCTTAAGGGGCATTTCTACACATGCAAGCGTCGCAGCATCAAGTGCTTTGAAAAGCACCCAACGCTGCAATGCTTACACTTGTGTAAGCGATGAAATGCACGTCAGTACTGAGAAAATGACAGCAGTGCACTTTCGAGGTGCACCTCAGAGGTGCTTTAGTTCAAAAGCATATCGCTGACATTTTCTATGCAATGACGTGCATTGCGCCACTTATACAACAGCACACGGTGCAGCGCAGTTTGCCTCCGCTCGATTAATCAATTCTGCTCCGAAGCAGCAGATCTCCGGCACATTGTGGGAAAAAAAGTATGTGTATAAATGCTCAAGGTGGTCATGTGCCTGCCTCTCCCACAGTCCCCTCCTGCCTGGGCACTAATTGGGCCTCCAAATCACCCCTTTCTAGTCCCACCCAAACCACTGGTGTAAAACTGTAGCCCAAAAATAATCCTTCTAGGTATAACACATCTCAGCTGAGTCTAAGCCCAAACCCCAGCTCCATTTCCCCATACCCTGAGTCCTATTCCCCTGGAAGTCAGCAGCATTCTACTTGCACTTCTCTCCAGAGTAGTACAGGTGTCAGCCATGAGCTCCTCTGCAGCTCTCCTGCCCTGAAGCAATTTTCTCAGCAGCTCCCAGAGCCAGAGCTTCCTTGTATGCTAGTGGAAGATGAGGGACTTTCTTCCACATGCTGATTGGAGGGGAAAACCTGGTCTTGTATTTGCGTAAATACCATATATACACACTCACGCTGATGGTAGAATTCTGTTTCACTTTATGCATGTTAACAGTGCTTTTCTAGCCATTTAAGTGGCTGTTTTGGTATTTGTGTACAGGTTGTAACACTATTGTGCATTCTGTAAAGCCCCCTTTATTAAAAAGCTCCATGATTTTAATAAAACATTGAAACTGTTGAAACCCCCATTGAATTTGGAGGGAGGAATACAAGGTGCAGAAAAGGAGAATTTGGAGGAGGCAGCATGAAGTCAGTCTGTACACATGGTTTGAATGTTAGCTTTGGTTGCAGCAGCTCTGTGAGTTTGATTTTAGAAAAATGGAGTTTTCTGATTTATTACCCAGCATGTGATACATAAAATACAGGCATAAAATATATCATATTCATGTACCAGGTGAGAGGTTGCACTTGGTTAGTATAAAACCAAGACTAACACAACCAGTCCAGTCTCTGACAGAGGTAACTGATTTTAGAATTCAGTAGTTTATCTTAAACTGAATGAAGATTGTTTGGATCAAGATGAAGCTTTTTTTTTCTGGGACCCATATCTTCTAAATATTTTACTTCTTTTTAAAGGGCTAGTTGACTTGACTACTATTGAGGACTCTATTGGAGGGCATGGGGCACCTTTATTAAAGGATATATTGCTTTAACCAGATAAAGAAATATTCTAATTTAATTTAAAACATACCCTAATCCAAGTTTATGACTGATAATAGCTACTGAACTTCCAAAAAAATAATTATGCACAATAGGAAAACAAATAGGAATTGTTATAGATTTTACTGACTAAACCAAAAGTTTCCTGCCTGATCAGATGATTTGTTGATTATTACAGACCTGTCAGAGAATTTTCTGTCCCAAAGGGAGTTAATGCCTTCACATATTGTGGAAAAGCAAACATTATTGTTACTGGAGGTGAGTAAAATGTTTATATTATACATGGAGATCCATGTACTTTAATAAAGAGTTGGTTGTAGAGGTTTTTTTTCATTAAGTAAACTTTCAAACAAATATTTGAATAGGATAAGAACATAAGTGCCATATTGGGTTAGACCAATGGTCCATCTAGCTCAGTATCTTGTCTGACAGTGGCAGAAGTGGATGCTATATAGGGAGAGCATCCAGCCAGATATCTCTAGAATGATGTATCCCCTATTCAATACCCTATAAGGCATCCACCATTATTGGTTTAGCAATGCCAGAGGAAACATCTCCAGCCATTCTGTTCAACAGCTATCTATAGATCTATCATCTATCAATGTGTCTAGTCCCTTTTTGAACCTCGCTATGCTATCTACCCTTACCACCTCCTTGGAGCAATGAAATCCACAAGGCAATGAATTCCACTACCCGTTACATTAAAAAAATACTTTCTCTTGTTAGTTTCAAACCTGTCTCCTACTAATTTCAGGGGATGCCCATAACAAGACCTGGCCCCAAGGGCAACTGTGACACCCCCTGCTGGTGAAGTGACTCCTGTCCCAATTCTCGGTACCCTCCTCTTTTTACCTGCCAAAGCTTGGTATATCTTGTAATGCTTAAGGAGGCTGCCCCAGGGAACCAGAGTGAGCCTGAATCCTTCAGTTGTCTGGTGCTTCACATGCCTAACTGGCACCAGTCTTTCCCATAGGGAGCATTAATTGTGGGCTCCAGACTCCCCTATAGCCATGCCCATGCCTTGTGGTTATTATTCCATATTAATTCAGAGGGGGCGCCCTGGCACGAACACACCCTGTGGCCCCTCAGGTCTTAAAACTTTGTTTAACAAAAGTTAACAGAGGAACTTCTGTTAACTTTGGGTCCAGCCCCAAATATTTTGACTCTGGTGGGACTTGAACCCACAAACTTTGAATGACACTTTACTGTAGAAGTCCAATGTGCTGTCCATTGCACCACAGAGCCAGCTCTGTTTTGTGTTCTTGCTGGTATCCTTTTTGTAGTATAGCTTTATCCAAGACCCTCATATAGTATTTTTAAATAGCATCCAAGCTGCCTGCATATGTTTTAGGTTTTTGACTGCTCCTTTAAACCTAACTTCCTCAGTTTTGTGTAATTTGCCTTCCTAAAGCTGTATATCACTGTAGTGGATGTTTTGGCTTACTTCCTCTCTCTGGAATGTTGAATGTGATTATGCTATGGTTGCTATTAATAAGTGACTCAGCAATGGATACCTCTTGAACCACGTCCTGTATGTTACTCAGGACTAGGTCTAGAATTGCTTCTCCTCTTGTGCGTTACAAAGTGAGTTGTTGTAGAAAGCAGTCATTTATTACCTTCATAAATTTTATCTCTACATTTCAGCCTGATGAGGTGTTTACCCAGTCTATGTGACAATAGTTGACATCTCCCATTAATATAGTGTTCCATTTTATCAGCTTCTCTAATCTCCCTGAGCATTTCATAATCACCTTTACTTTCCAGATTACATGATCAGTAGTACAATCCTAGTACCATATTCTTTTTATTCACATATAGAA